ATTGCTGTTGTGATGGCCGTGGTGGCCAAGGCTGGGCAGGAGCCGGTGGGGGGGGCAAACCAGGGAGAGCACACCGCCACATAGGGCTTAACATGGCTACACCTTTTCATTTGTTGGTTGGTGCTAAGTAGTAGGTAACTCATAATAAAGTTACATGGAACCTCATCAGTAAATCCTGTTCATGGTAAAAAGCAGAACAGAAATAAAAGCACACCCGTTAATCAAATAACTTGTTCAGCCTTTTCTTTATCAGAGGGAAAGAGAAGAAGTGGAGTTCTACAGTGTTATCTGGATTATTTCTATGAACAAAATTATTAAGATAAGCAAAATGGGGCCATCTGTAAAATAAACATGACAATAGTGATTAAACATAAGGACCATAATGAGTGTGTCCAGGTAGCTAGACTATCAAATATAGCTATTTTTTAAAAGGGAACTTGCATGAAGCCTGTATACTGATTGATTCAAAGTTACATAATAAAGGAAAATAGCAAAAACCAACATCAATCAAAAATAAACTGTAACATAAAAATGATAAGGTAGCCGCTCTTGTTTGAAAATGAAATGTTATAAAAAGTGAAAAAATCTATCAGTCCTTCAAGAAAAAATAAAATATATAAGTTTTTCTTCAGAAAATATAGTACATAGCTGCCATAATTTCTAATGCATCTTATATCATAGGTGTTTGTTGGTAACATATCAGAGACAGATTAAATAAAAACCCCATTAGGTTTCAACATACTGTAGAAAATGGATAGGTTTTCATAAATATTACCCCAAAAGAACAAGCATGGAGGGCTTGCAGCTTACACAATACAGTCATGGATCCATATATTCTGCGGCATGCTGAACCAAGCTTCATATCAAGAGAGTCCATGGTCCTATATTTTGTTAGTACAATTTTATGGGAGTACAAACTCCTGAAAAATGTAGTTTTTCTTCTAAACATGTATTAAACCAATCTATTTCAATACTATATGAAAAATGGTAAGGGTAAGAAATACCATTTTAACATCTAGTGCTAATGTTACCACAATGTTTCAGCATGAGAGGTGACTGTATGTGAAAACAGTGTTTAGGATCTTGGGTGAACAGTGATGTAAATTTATTTTAAAATAATCTACTGCTTGGTGATTAGAGACTGTGGCTTTTCTTCTTTCTGGATGGTTTGAGAATATTTTGGGTACCATTTAAGCCTGTGAGACTTTGTTCTAATTCTATGCCTCTTAAATTCCTTTTGGGAGACTTTGTTGAAAGAAGTGTGTCAGCAGTTTTACCAAATTGTTCTGAGTACAGAGGAACTTGAAATATTTGCTTGGGATTTGGAATTGTGGCAATATTTCGAAACAACAGAGTAAATGCATTGTAAAGATGGTGTCAAATATTATCTTTATTCTCCCATTGCTACAATCTAGAAGAATGACTCTGTTTTCCTTGGTCAAAAGGAGGTTCTGTTTTCTTGGAAAAAATATTTAGTATTTGGAAAATATACAGTAGAGGAGTGAGTGTTCATTGCCAGTAGTCAGTCATCAAAATGACAAAATGGTTTTGAAGTGAAAGCTGTCAGAATAATATGTGTGCTTGCCTGTTCTGACTCAGAAGTGAGACATTTTCATGGTAATGCCTCACCAAGTTTGTTTTAATGTGGTGATGGGCAGATTTAGAAATTACACCTTTGACCTGAGAAACTTTGCTCCTGTATTTTGTTTCGAAAAGGTAAACTTAATTGTGTAGTCATTTGTAATATGATAACTTCCGTAAGTCTCCCTGAAAAGATTTCCCCAAATTTTAAGATCTGGCAGAAATTTAAGGTTATTTCTAGGAAGAAACCCTGAAAAAACCCCACACAACTACAACCAAACATGCCCCCCTCACCAGCAACCCCCCAAACAACAGCAACAAAAAAATCACCGAAAATTCCAAACCAAAGTGGCTGTGACGCAACACCAAGCTGTGAATGTGAGCATTTTAAATAACAAGGGTCAAATTAAGAGGGAATTTCACTGAATTTTGCTGAATTTTTAGAGTTGGAAGGGACCATAGAGATCATCTAGTCCAGCTCCTCTGCTGAAGCAGGATTGCCTAGAGCTCGTCAGAGCATGTTACTCAGGACTGCATCCGGGTGGGTCTTGAAAATCTCCAAAGAAGGGGACTCCACAACCTCCCTGGGCAGCCTGTTCCAGGGCTCTGTCACCCTCACTGTGAAGAAGTTTTTCCTCATATTTGAGTGGAACCTCTTATGTTCCAACTTGTGCCCGTTGCCCCTCATCCTTTCACTGGGAACCACTGAAAAGAGTCTGGCTCCCTCCTCCTTCAACCCTCCCTTGAGATACTTGTAAGCATTAATAAGGTCTCCCCTCAGCCTTCTCTTCTCCAGACTAAAGAGTCCCAGCTCTCTCAGTCTTTCTTTATAAGGGAGATGCTCCAATAGCCACAAGAGTGCACTGCTTGCTTATTGTCATTTTACTGTCCACCAGGACCCCTAGATCTTTCTCTTCAGAAGTTGCCTCCAGCAGGTCCACCCCTAACCTGTACTGGTGCTTGACATTCTTCTTCCCCAGGTGCAGGACCCTACACTTTTCCCTGTTGAACCTCATGAGGTTCTTCCTTGCCCAGCCCTCCAGCCTGTCCAAGTCTCGCTGGATGGCAGCACAGCCCTCCGGGGTGTCAGCCACCCCTCCCAGTTTGGTATCATCAGCAAACTTGCTGAGGATACACTCTGTCCCCTCGTCCAGGTCACTGATGAATATGTTGAACAGCACTGGACCAAGTATTGACCCCTGGGGGACACCACTGATTACAGGCTTCCAACTCGAACCTGCTCCATTAATCATTACCCTTTGAGTCCTGTCACACAGCCAGTTCTCAGTCCACCTCACTGTCCCCTCTTCCAGCCCATACTGCCTCAGTTTCCCAATGAGGATGTTATGGGAGACAATGTCAAAAGCCTTGCTGAAGTCAAGGTAGATGACATCTGCTGCCCTCCCCTCATCCAACCAACCAGTTATAGCGTCATAGAAGGTTATCAGATTGGTCAAACATGATTTACCCTTGGTAAACCCGTGTTGCCCACTTCCAATAACCCCCCACTCTTCAACTTGTTTGGAGATGACATCTAGAATGAGTCTCTCCATTACCTTCCCAGGGACAGAGGTGAGACTAACTGGTCTGTAGGTCCCAGGGTCCTCCTTCTTGCCCTTTTTGAAGACTGGAGTGATGTTGGCCTTCCTCCAGTCTCAGGCACCTCTCCTGTTCTCCATGACTTTTCAAAGATGATAGAGAGCGGCCCAGTGATAACATCTGCCAGCTCCCTCAGCACTCGCGGGTGCATCCCATCAGGGCCCATGGACTTATGAATGTCCAGTTTGGCCAAGTGGTCCCGAACCTGGTCCTCCTCTACTAGAGGAAAAATTTCCTTTCTCCATACCATCCCCCTTGCCTCCAAGGCCACAGATTCATGAGGGGCAGTCCTAACAGTGAAGATTGAAGAAAAGAAGGCATTCAGCAACTCTTCTTTCTCCGTGTCTTCCACTACTAGGATGCCCACCTCATTCATCAGTGGGCCCACATTATCCTTAGTCTTTCTCTTACTGTTAACATACCGAAAAACCCCCTTTTTGTTATTGTTAACTTTAATGGCCAAGATGAGCGCAGCTTGAGCCTTGGCCCTTCTAATTTTCCCCCTGCCTATTCTCACTGCTTCCTGGTATTTCTCCTTGCCTGCCAGGCCCCTTTTCCAAAGATCATAAACCTTCTTTTTGTTCCTGAATTCCAGCCAAAGCTCTCTATTTAGCCAGGCTGGTCTTCTTCCTTTTCTTCTTGTTTTTTGGGACTTGGGTATGGCTTTATCCTGCGCCTTTAAGAATGCCTCCTTGAAGTAAGACCAACCTTCCTGGGCCCCCTTGCTCTTAAGGACTGTCTCCCAAGAGACTCTTTCAACCATGCTCCTGAAGAAGCCAAAGTCTTGATAGTATTGAGGTAAAAAGAAGTTTGGCCATAAAATGTAACAAAATATTAATATATATAATAAATATATATTAATATATGTTTAATTCTTAATAAAGAAGAATAAAAAAATCTTGGTCAAGTGTTCAGAATGGATTCTATCACTTTCTGCTTTTTTCATAATTTATACTGTTGCTTGCATTTTGCTCATTTTGGAAGTGGAAAATACATATGTTTGGGGGGTTTTGGTTCCTGATTATATTCTACATTCTAAGAAACCTTCAGGCAAAGACCAATGAAAAATTTTTGCTACTTGCATGTTTTTATGAACATTGGTAGTGAGAATATTTGATTTAGTGCACTGAGAGCTTTATTTAACACATTTATTTAACAGCTGTATTTTATATTTGTAGTTAACCTTCATTGCGCCAAAGATTTTTAACTTAAAAATGTAATTCCTTTGAAAAGTATTCAAAGTATGCACCTTATTGTTTGCAATACGGATGATGTATTTTTAAAGAACTTCGAAAAATATTGGACCAAATTCTCTGACGCTGATAGTTTCATTTTCTAAGGGTCTTCTAGCAATACACTCTCAGTGCATAACAGAGTTATGCCAAAGGAAATCTACACATTTTTGATGGGAGTTATAAAACCTCTGATTTTGAGAATGATAACCTGACATCTTCTAATTGTCAAAACTGTGTTTTTTCACTTCAGAGCTTAGTTCATATGTAACCTAGGAAGGAACCAATTCAATGTCTGGTTTCAATATTGGTGTCATCTCAAACTATAGGTTTTTTTAGATTGAAGATTTCATTCAATGTCATGAGAGCATTACAAAAGTGACGAACATTTTGGAAGGTAGTTATTTCTGAAATCCTTTTTCCTATGAAATGATATCTAAGAGATAAGACTGGCAGAAAGCTGAATAAAAAAAACCCATGCAATTTTTATTTTTCTAAGTACTTTGCGAGGAATAAGAATGTTTGATGAATGAAATGTCTTCTTGTATTTGAAAAATGTAACTAAAATAAAACACTACTTCTCTCTAGCTGAGTAACCTGAAACAAGTTACAGTTGTGGACGTGTCAGCAAACAAGTTCCATTCTATTCCAATCTGTGTGCTCCGGATGTCTAACTTGCAGTGGTTGGATATTAGCAGCAACAACCTGACAGATCTTCCCGAAGACATAGACAGGTAGTTTATTTTTTTAATTCATTGACAGGCCTGTGAACTGTAAAGCAAATCTAGACAATAACAAGCTTCTGAGGGATACCATTAAAGAAAAATCACATTAAAAAGTCACAGAAACTGCATTTTCTAGCTTGTTGATTGCGGACTGCACAGTCAGTGCCTTTACTGTTCTGTTAACTAATTGTATTTTCTGCCACATTCATGATAATTTGTCATTATATTCAGGCATTGTTATTTGGGAAGTTCATGGGGCATAGTCTGCCCCAGTTCCAGCTAAGGAAACTCCCCAGTTCCAGCAAAGGTGACTCACCGAATGGAATTGGCAGCAATGTCTCTCTGGAGGATAGATGGGATGGAGGGGAAGATGAACTAAAGTATATCTAAGTTAATGAAAGCACCTGATAAACTTTGACAGTAAAGCAGAAAAAATATTGGTAAGATTAAAAAGAACACTGACAATCCTCCTCTCCTATTCTGAAGTATATATGCATGTACACACATCACCTCAATCTCTCAATTTAGAGATCCACTAGAACTAGTTTTAAAAAACAAACATGTTAATCTCTTTAATGGCGTATACCAGCCTGAGAAAGAACTTTTCTTTTCTCTTGGTCTATTTATTCAGTCTGATGTCCTGTTGTAACTCAGTTTACAAAACTTTACATAGCCATAAGTAAACCAGAACACATATTAACACATATTGGAAAAAATATGGATTGTTTATTTGTCTGGGAATAAGGATCTCTGAGGCACAAGAAACTTAACTGAAAACTCATTCAACCTTAACTTTCACAAGAGTTTTGTTGCTGGGCAAAAAGACTTTTTTGGGCATGGTGTAATCACAGATTTCTCTGACAGCAGGGCTGAAGTCTTAATTTGTTTTAGTAATTTACATAATCTAGCCACAACAGCATAAACCTGCCATTTTTTTCCAGGGGATCTGAGGAGATATTTAATTGCACTTCAAAGAGTTTCTAAGAGGATATTTTTACTTTATGGAAGGATACCCACTCAAATTGATGGGCATTTATTTTCCCTGTAACCTATATATATATATTTTCTATCTCCAAAATATTCCATTTCTGCATTTCATCTTCTCCATTTTGCACTGAGTTGCCAGCCTCGATACTAAAGCATCATATTCAGACACCACAGAATAAGGTTTTCTTTGTTTGACATAGAGTTTTGAATTTTGAAATCTCTTGGGCTCACGTGCATTCTGAAGACTAGAAAATTTCAGGGTATTCCCCCCCAGTAAATTGATACTCTTATTCAGACTCGTGGTTTCACTACCTGCAGTGTCAAAGAACCTCAGTGAACTATCATGAAGCCTGTAATTAAAAAAGATGAGTTGGCATAAACTGAAACCTTACTTATTGTCTTTCCCTGAATTCAAACAAACCGTACGGGCCTGATAAACAGTAGCCTGCAACACTGTTTTAGGAATGGACCCTTCTGGTCAAATGAGACAAACTTGTTTCATCAGTTTGTTATGCTTTTCATCTTCTACATACTCCAAGGAATGAATGCTCAGCCAGAAATTACCATTGCGTTAAGAAAAGCCAGAGGAAATAAAGTAAAAGAACCACAACACATTCCTCCACAAAATATTGTCATTAAATTGATTTCAGTGGGACAAGTTGCAAGAACCATATGACCAGGAGCTGGTCTTTCCCTTGCTCCCCACTGTACTAATTAGTCATGAAAAACAATAGATGTATCTAGCATGGAGGTATCTAGTTCACAGAAATCAACATATGGGCAAAGGTGTGAGCTAGTGACCCACTTTTTTTATTAGTTCCAGGATGCACAGGGTTAGGGTTTAGATCATATTATGTCGATATCTTCTGTACGAAAGCACAGTAATTTTTGTAACATTTTATCTTGGGTATGCTTCTGAGTAGGTGTCAGAAGTATGCTATTAATATCTATAAAGTTGAGCCATGACTGGAAATTTTTGTTAAAGTTGATTACAATTTCTGAAAGTGCAGTATGAGTAATTTTTGAGAAGCCAAAGATGGTGCATGTAGTTGTTCTTCTTTTACACAAGATTACATCTGTATTGCTATTTTAGATAGATGCTTCTTGCTGAAACAAATATTTTAATTTATCTTTATCTTTTACATTTTTACAGGTTAGATCAACTGCAGACACTTCTTCTACAGAAAAACAAGTTGACTTATCTTCCACGAGCTCTGGCCAATATGCCAAAACTCAGTTTGCTTGTTGTCAGTGGCGATGACCTGGTTGAAATACCCACAGCCATCTGTGAGTCAACCACAGGTTTAAAGTAAGTAAATGAGAGAGAGAAAGGAATCTGTTCTTAAGATAAAGTAGATGCACCCAGGAGAAATACTTTCACAAGCATCGGTTTCTACAGTACCTGGTGGTCAAATTCTGACCCAATTTATATCAGAGCCCTTAAGGAGGCATTAGAGAGATTGGAAATTGCAAAGGAGCTGCGGCTTTTTGATTTTTATCTGACAGTTGCCCACATTGTGAATCTGTATGCCTAAACTGATATTCCTATGTATACTTGGTCATGATACCTCTAATTGTGGAGTCACAAAGCCATGCCTCAGAGTGGCACCAGTATTCTGGCAGTTAGCCATTGACAGCCAGTGCTGTCAAAAGTATGCTGCTAGGAGTGGGAAATGTGGCTATTGAAAATTTAAGTAGTGTCACATGAGTTTATTAGTTCATATATTCTTTGTTGTGAAACAGTGCCTTGTTGCTGCATGCAGGATAAGACTAAAAGGTGTTTTAGTCTGCAGTTACAATGACCTTGCATTTCTGTGGGCGATGTTCAGGTTTTTGATTATGAAACCATTTGAGACTGTAGACTGGGTCTGGCTGGGACGGACTTAACTTTCCCCATAGCAACCCTCATAGTCCTGAGCTTTGTATTTGCAGTTAGAATGGTGCTGATAACACACCAACGTTTTTGAGTACTGTTGAGCAGTGCTCCTACAACGTCAAGGCTGTCTCTCCAATCCTCTCACACAGAGGCCAGTAGGCTGAGGATGAGCAAGAAGTTGGGAGGGGACATATCTGGGTCAGCTGACTCAAACTGGACAAAGCGATATTCCATACCGGCTCTTATTAAAAATAAGAGCTAAGAGAAAGGAAAAGGGAAGTGGGTCATTTGCTATTGAGGTGTTTGACTTCCAAAACAACTGCTACATGTGTTGAATCCCTGCTTCCCAGGAAGTGGCTGAATGTCACCTGTTGATGAGAAGTAGAGAATAATTTTTTTTTCTCTGCTTTGTTCCATACCTGGCTTTTGAGTTTCTTCATTAAGATGACTTTATCTCAACACGTGAGTTTGTCATCTTACATTCTTCTCCTGCCCCGCTGAGGAGGGGGAGTGAGAGAGCTGCTTGGTGGGCACCTGGCCAGCCAAGGTCAACCTGCCACAGACTCACAGCAATTCATGAGACTTTAAAAAGCCATATTATTTGTTGGAACATTTATTCTTTTGAAAGAAACAGTTTTATTTCCTCTTGGAGTGGTAACATCATCAGACATTTTCAAAATACTGTGCACTTAATTTGCACATTATGTAAGTTGCTCATGTAAACACCTAGTTTTTCACCTGCATTGTGTAGCTTTAGGAAATTTGCTAACACAACATAATGCAAATCCAGTCATGCATTGGAAAATAGAAGTTACATAACAACAAAAGAATGGAGTTACATATTATCAGCTATGTGACGCTGGCACAATTCAAGATTAATAAGCAATATTGTTAGGATGAAGTTCATACTGCTTATTAACAGGTGTGAAGTTATGGTGTCAGTCTGTCAGAAGTTCCATAATAAAGGAATATACCTGTTATTGCAAAGAATGATTTATATAGATAGGCAAAAAGAAAGAAATAACTCTGATAATTTTCATATGGAAAGTGGAGTACAGAGATGGTGCCATTTGGAATATTTATTTCTAATAATAACAATTAATCCTAACAATGCCATAATGCAAAAATTGAGCAAATGTTTTTTACACTTCCTCTTCTTCCCCTTCTGGCTGTAGTAGCAGCTTCTAAAATGTCATTCATATTGGCCAACGATGTTCAGAAGCCTGTTGCATGTATTCTTACGTTAATCTCTCTCTAGATTCATAAGTCTCAAGGACAGCCCAGTTGAGACTATTGTTTGTGAAGACACTGAAGAAATTATAGAAAGTGAACGTGATCGGGAGCAGTTTGAGAAAGAATTTATGAAAACATACATTGAAGACATAAAGGAACGGGGTATGTGCTGACTTACAGCAAACTTCCTGCTATCCTGGATATAAATGTAGACACACATTGGGAACATTCATTTTTAGCAGCACAAGCAAGACACCCTTAAACCGTAATTATCTGTTACGATATTAAATAAGACTAAAAATGAAATTGTTGAATGTGTTTTGTTAGAAAGTGTGGGCCCTAACTAAAACACTTGATAATGAAAAAATGTATATAAAATTAATTTTGTATACGTTAAATAATTTTATAAAAAAATAATGTTGTATTAAAAAAATGTCTTGTACATGCTTTAACCACAATTGAGTGATAATGTATGCAATGATTATCCTCATTCTCCAGATTTACTTACGTCTCTTGGGATTAACATTAGTCATTTTGAATTCGTGTGGTATTGCTTCTCCTCCTCAAAATGAAACACAGTGTATATATCAAATGCTCTTTGCATTGATAGAACATGCCATAACAGTGCATCTATATCCTAATTGTTTAACTACTGTAACATTATTGTAGTAAAATCACTGCTTTTGCCTTTATTGCACAGCACCTGAATGTTTACCTATTACTTTATTTTTTATTCTGAACTATATCTACTGTAATTAAATTACTGTCAATATCTTGTGTCCTGTTTAGTAAAATGTGTTAGGAAACACAGGGAAAATTTCCTGAGACAAAATACCCCATAGGCTCTGTTTAAATCTCTTTGAGAGTATGTGTGTAGAAATTAATTTTTGTGGAATTATTCTTATGGTATCTTTATTCCTTGTATTTCATGTAGGTAGTCTGTATTGTGGTCCTACAAGACCTGGTGAAAAGAAATGTAAAGAAATGCCACCGAATGTGGCTGCAAAATATTTTTGAAGTTCTGAATGAACATTTGTTTCTTAGTATCCATAAGGTGCAGACTTGAGTATTTAAGCTGTCTAATTCTAAAGTGAAGTTGGCTATAAAAGTGCCAGATTCTCATAATGGTAGCTACAGTGGTTAAAATGGAGAGAAGGAGTGGAGGAAAAATTAAAATAATAATTTGGCTTTAGAGGTACTCATGAAATATGTGGTGATGGACGTGTGAAATGTGGAGTCTAAGATAATGGCTGCCAGGCTGCTTGGAAAATGCATTTGGTCCCGTCAAGCAGAGTCCAGCTTTGTACTCCTTTGGAGCAAAGCAACTCAGGGATACACTTTTCTGCCTTCCCAGACAAAATTTATCTCCATGCTTTTTATGATGAGGCTGGATCATGAATGTCTTTTTTACTTCCTGCTTCTGAACTTTTATGCTATAGAATATGCCAATATCTGCTTTTGAAAAGAGGACTGGAGAAGGAATAGCTTCAGTATAATACGAGCCAGCAGAACTTCTGAAAGATAACACAGAGATCACTTTGAAATAAAACAAAACCTAGCTGTCTCTAGCTAAGGGCTCCATTTATTTGTGCTGGATTACATAGCTGAAGTCTGAGATGTATTTCTTTTTTCTCTTTTCACAGATTTGACTCCTTCCTACACTACGAAAGTATTACTCAGTCTTCAGCTCTGAAGATCAAAAATATGTAAATCATAAGTGAATATCAGAATAACTCTACTTTTTTCTATCTGAACAGAAGCACTTCAAAATCATAATGAATTTTCTTATTTGTTACTGTAGTCACTCCCAGTAACTACAGATAAAACAAGAGTAGAATAGCCTTTTTAAGACACTGTTTCACCTTTTAAATCAACGTATTTATTTTCAAGTCCACAGCAACAGCTACTAATTTACATACAGTCCTTCTGAAAGTAAATATTCACTGTAATAAAATATGCACAGGCATAGATGTCCTCAGGATGAAAACATTGTATGTTGTAGTGGAAACAGTACAATATAGATTATAATCTTAAAAAGATATTTGATTTTACAAGAAGGGAAGGGATAACTTCGAAAATGAATGTCACCTGTCTTAAGACCAAATAACACATTTAGTTCTTTACAATATTTAAAGTGCAAACACACACACAGTTCTTTGTATTTACTTTCTGTTGTTCAAGGAAATTGTTCCTCTTGGGATTTTCAGTTTAGATAAGTTCAACAGCTTTAAATATAGAAACTGTAGTAATTCTGCTGTTTTTTCAAGCATATTACAATCTTTTACCAGTTCGCAAATTCAAGATCCAATGTGACTAAAACTTCTGTGCTAAGTAATCTTCTAATATAGCAGTATATTAAATAAGATTTTAAGGACTGATCAGCATGAACAAATACTATTAGCAAGATGATGATAAAGATCTTCTACTAATCATTTCAGGTTACAGTATTTTGTGACATTTATTGGAATTTTCCAAGTTGTATAGCAACAAATTTGCTGGATAGAAAGTTATATTGCTTACTTTTTAATAATCTGTTTATATGTAATTAGATAAGTGTATATACTATAGAGTCTCAGAAATCTAGTTTTAAATATATATTTTTTGTTTAATAAATCAATTCTTTTTAATCTAAAAAGACTTGAGACTTTGGGGATATAGACACAAAGTAGAGAATTCAAATAATCCTAAACTTATGAGTGCAGTCAGGAGAAATTATATTTATATCTTGCTTTTTATTGTAGATGAGCTATGTCCAATTTTGTGCAGTAAAGTGCCACTTAAGTCAGTCTTATTTAAAAAGCAAAACAGTAAAGGATGTGCTCCTCAAGACTTCCACGTAAAAAATACCACTTTTGATGTTTTCTTTCCCTTTTAACTTTTTTGTATTAATTCTTTTGAAATAAGAGAATTTGTAAATACTAGGTATGTTATTTATTCCAGTCACAAACTCCTACAGTCATATGACTATTGTAAATTAAACCCTCCTGAGTTGGTCTCTAGGTGTTAATGTTGATTTTAAACAACTCTTGGAACAAAGAGAAAGTTTTGAAAAGCTCCAAGAAAAGTTGACATTGATCTGAAATGGAATAATGCAAGATCTGTATTTGTTTTTATTACTAAGATATTGAAATATGATTAAATAGTGGCAATCAAAGTGGGCTTACAGATATCAGGCTATCTGAAACTACCCTACTGAACTTTCTTTTAGTGGAATTATAAATTTGGTTTATTAGGTATTGATATTGATGTAATAAACTTCTGTAATACATCTGATTTAACATTGCTTGAAATTCTATTTCTAGAGGTCTGGTGTAGTCTAATATGATCCACTGGAAATCACAGAAATGGAAATCACAACTGTTATGTTTATAGAATGGAAATGTCCATTAAGGGAGTTATAACTTTAAGAAAAACTAGAGGTGCAAATGTAATTAACTAAATAAAAGTTCCCAGTGCAAATTCTAGTGTCAGAATTGTTGGCTATATTAACAGAAGGTACTTGAATAGTGAAGTTGTATTAATACTTATTTAGCATTGCTGTTAGTCTCACTTGAAAGATTTCTGCTGTTCACAGAGAAGAGTGATGCAGATAAACTGGGGAACATTCAGTAAGAAAACAATAGCATAAAGACAAAATATACATTTTGAAGTTCATTGAACAGTGAACAAGTCCATTTGCTTGTCAATATTTATCAATGAAAAATTACAGTCTAGAAACATGATTTTTTACTGCAGCAGACAAACGTAAGACAGAGGACTAAAACTTGAACTCACAGATTTGAACTAGAAACAGAGCCTGTGTTCCAGTAAGAGTAACCATGAGACCCAGAGAACCCGGGTTTCATGGTTCCATGAGAACCCAGAAACTGGCCTGTGTTCCAGTAAGAGTAACCATGGGACAAGTTGCATAACTGATGAATTCTTAGTCACTAGCAATCTTTAAGTCCAGGTTAGCATTTTCATTTAAACATTGCTGCAACAAGCCACAGAAAATGTAAGGTCAACAGTATACAGTGACTAGTCAAACGAGTGTTCCCCAACTTGACTTTGAAACTATGTGAATCAAATTTTCATAGAATCATAGAGTGGTTTTGGTTGGAAGGGACCTTCAAAGATCATCTAGTCCAACCCTCTGCCACAGGTGGGGACATCTTTTACTGGATCAGGTTTTTCAAAGCCCTGTCCAAAGTGACCTTAAATACTTCCCATGATGGAGCATCCACAACTTCTCTAGGAAACCTTAGAGTTTGCCTCAAACCTTAGAGGGTGCCTCAACACCCTCATCATAAAAAATTTCTTTGTGAAATCCAATGTAAATCTATTATATTTCAGTTTAATACTGTTACTTGTCCTGTCACTACAGGGCCTGGTAAAAAGTCTTTCTTCATCTTTCTCATAGACCCCCCCCTTATATATTGAAAAGCTGCAATAGAGTCTCCCCAGAGCCTTCTCTTCTCCAGGTTGAACCCCAACTCTCTCAGCCTTTCCTTATAGGAGAGGTATTCCAGCCCTCTGATCGTTTTCATGGTCCTGCTCTGGACCTGCTCTGACAGGACCATGTCTTTTTTGTACTGGGGATGCCCGTTGTGGATGCAGTACTCCAGATGGGGTCTCATGAGAGCAGAGTAGAGGGCAAGAATCACTTCATTTGACCTGCTAATCATGCTTCTTTTGATGCAGGATATAGTTGGCTGTGAGTGCGTATTGCTGGCTCATGTCCAGCTTCTCATCCACCAGTATGTCCAAGTATTTCCCTGCAGAGCTGAGAGCCTTTATTCCTGGCTCTTGTAGAACATTATTTCCTAAAATTTTATCCACAGGAAGAAAAGATTATTTTTGTCACAGAATTTGTCAAGTACCTCTGTTTAAGAGGAAGAAGGTGTACATGTATAATTGTCTCCATTACACCTAAGATGTCCAATGGGTACTGTCAGCTATAACTGAAATTCCTAATTTCAGCATAATTGCATCGAGTTCTACTTCTATGTCCTGTACAGCAAAAATAGTGTGATAACATACTTAGCACATACTGTTAAATGCAATTTTATTAGTATCATCCATTGCAGTACAAAATTTGTGTGCTGAAAGACACCTCATTTTGAATTTAGTCTAATTTTACTGGTTTTCTACCCAACTTGTTTTACTAGTAGTTTTACTTAAACTGTTATCTTTTACTAAAATATAAAACTTCCAGAGAAGAGAATTGTGCTGTTGGCCTGTTGAAAATATTCTTTTTCAATTTTTGAAAGTGAATAATTTTATGAATAAACGGAATTTTGTGCACTAATAGCAATTTATGCTGTTTTCAACCTTTTGATGTCAAATGCTTATATGCCTAAAGGAAAGCAACATGTTTTTAGTTCTGAGCTGCAAAATGAACACACATATTGTGTAAAGCATTTTTATTGGCTGTGACAAGATGCCAAATATGACACTTCAAATATGACACTATTTCCTTCTGCTTCACAAGTAGCTGCTATTCAAAGGCAGCAACACTGAGAACAGTTGAAATATGTGTTATAGAATACTCACTGGCTCAATGTGTAAAAGTAAATCGGAGAAATACTCTTCATTGTGTTCCTTTTTGTGTTCTGCATTGTTTTGGCCTTGTTTTGAGGATAGCAACACATAAGCTAGGGAGACAAACTTATAATGAAAGAAAATAACCTGGAATTTAATTGATGAATACCTAGGAATAACATAGTCTTGTATTAGGTACTGGTTTAAAATTTACAGTTAACACTGGACAATATATTGTTTCTTTTCCCCTTGAACATTTACACACCATCAGAACCGTTTTACTGTGTATATTTTCTGCAAAGGAAGCAACGAGTGAAATGGTAAACAGGGAATGCTCTTTTCTTGATGATCTGACTTGACTTCAGTAGCTGCTAGGTCCTGGTCTGTGGAGGATTTCTGTACAGATTAGTTCCTGCTTCATAGAGGATGGAAGCAGATTGGAAAGCAGGGGTTTTTTTAATTGATTTTGAGGCCTCTTTTGAACGAGTCCTACTCAACAGAAGAAACGTTAACTCAGCATAACTCTGGTTGTCTACCTCTTGGGTAATCCTTCTGTATGTTGTGCAGCTCAGGAAGAGCTTCCTTTCTTTTCAGTAGCCGAATCTGCTACTTGGGCTGATTGTAGCTGTGACTATATTCTATTGTACAGTCTTCTGTCTTCTTCACTTCACTGGCCCATTAACCACTGTGGGTGTTGCTTAGTGTTAATAGGGTTCTGCATGGTGTTTTCATTATGTGCTGACTGGCATTAATATGAAAAGATCTTTACTCTCTCTTACCTGTCCCTGGAATTTTCTGTTTTCTTGTTGTCAACTCCAACAAACCTACTTGAGGTTTAGCAAAATCTTAGTAAAGATGCATTTATATCTGAAAAGCTTAAGGCTTTTAGCAAGTTAAGGCTGAGTCAGCCTTTGGCCTTGTGCATCATGTAATGACAATGTGTTACACTGCAGGGCCTAAAGCTGATAATTGCCTGTGGTACTCCTCTGAGCTACTGAAGCTGCTGTCAGTGCTGGGATATGTCAGCTTTTTCGTGTGTACACTAGTTGCAGTGTTTTGCACAGAGGAACACCACAACATATTTCTTTGACAGGCTTATGAATGGCATGAAAGGTTATTCAATGTTTCATTCTTATTCTGTGTTTGCTGGTTTAAAAACAGTATGTTATGTCACCTGTGGTGTCTGTATAACTTTCTGTCAAGATAACTATTTGAAAATAGTGGAAAGCAAATATTCTAGTCTTCAAGAAAGGCAAGAGGGAGGGCCAGGGAACTACAGGTGAGTCACTCTCACCGTGATCCCTGGGAATGTGATGGAGCAGCTCATCCTGGAAACCATTTCTAGCCTCATTAAGGACAAGATCATTAGGAACTGTCAGCATGGCACCACCAAGAGGAAGACATGTTTCACCAACTTGATAAACTTCTATCTTGAAATGATTGACCTGGTAGATGATGGGAGAAGTGTAGATATTGTCTACCTGGACTTCAATAAGGTCTTTGACATTGTCTCCCAGAAGATCCTCACAGACAAACTGTTGACATCTGGATGAACAGGGAGGTGGACTGAAAATTGGTTGAATGGTCAGGCCTAGAGTGTGATAATCCATGGCACAAAGTCTAATTCAAGGCCGATAACGAGTGGTTTACCCCAGGGGTCAATACTGGGTTTTATCCTTTTTAATATCTGTATTAATGATCTGGATGATGCAGCAGAGAGTATCCTTGGCAAGTTTGCTCATGATAAAAAACTATGAGGAGTGGTTGATTCACTAGGTAGTCGTGCTGCCACCCAGAGCAGCACAATTGCTAGCTAAATGGGTTGGAGAAATGGCCTGACAGGAAATTCAAGAAAGAGAAGTGTAAAGTTCTGCACCTGGGGAGGAACAATCCAATGCACCATTACAGGCTTGGGGATGCCAAGCTGGAAAGAAACTTTGCAGAAATTTCCCTGGAGGTACTGGTGGACACCAAGATGAAAGTGAGTTAATGTGCCTTTGCTGCAATGTGGTGAGAGGAGTCTTGCCAGCAGGTAGAGAGAGGTTGGCCTTCCCCTCCCCAGAGGACTGCTGAGATCACACCTGGAGTCCAGGTCTGGGCTTTCTACTATGCAAGAGGTACGGACATGCTAGAAAGAGTCCAAAGGGCCACTAAAATGATTAAGAGTCTGGAGCAACTCTCCCATGAGGAAAGGCTGAGAGAGTTGAGACTGTTAACCCTGGAAAAGAGAAAGCTCAGGGGGATCTTATCAATGTATATAAATACCTGAAGGGAAGGTACAAAGAAGATGGAGCCAGGCTGTTTTCAGTGGTGCTCAGTGACAGAGTAAGAGCCAGTAGGCACAAACTGAAACACAAGAGATTCTTCCTGAGCATCAGGAAACACTATTTTGCTTGAGGATTACTGAGTACGGGCACTCAGTAACCAGTGTTACTGGTTGCCAAGGGAGGTGGTAGAGTCTGCATCTCTGGGAGATATTCAAGAATTTTCTGAACATAGTCCAGGGCCATCTACTCCAGATGACTCTGCTTGAGCATGAGTGTTGTATCAGGTGATGTCTAAGGGTCCCCTCCATCTTTAACAAATCTGTGACCCAGAGACAGGATGGGTGTCCTGAAAGCTCCTTTGCTTCATGTGGCTAATTCCAGCTCTATGTTTCAGCACTACTGAAAGTTTTTTTGTGTAGCCTGGGTGCAGGTTCGTATGGCAGATTTAATAGAAGAGTGTTATCTGCTGTGTTGTCAACTCTGACACCCTGAATATAAATCCTGATTGAATATTTCTATTTCATTAATGTTCAGGAGAATTAGATGGAAATATTATCTTAAGTTGTGAGTGAATACTGCTTGACATTGATCATCATTTGTGGATATTACAAGCAATTTGCTCTGTGCTAGAACAGCTTCCCTCTATATCTGCTGAAATCAGTACCACTGTACTGTGCATCAGATCTTTAGATTAATGCCTGTGAGTACTGCAAGGAAATTCAGCAGAAGTTTGCTATGATACTGTCATTATGTACCCTTACAGGAATGTTCCAGGCATCTGATGTGTATCCCTTGGTGCTGTATGGTGAGAAGGCCTGCATAGCCTTGGATTTCTGTTAAAGCATGAAGTTTGGACTACATCTTATTTGCTATTAGACAAGACTGACGGACCCTTCACAAGAAATGGCCAAATGGTCAAACAGTATTTTACAGTACTTCTTTCATCCTTGTTAGTACTACAGGGCTTTTTGGTAAAGGTGGTAAACAAGTATCTAAGCGGACAATTGGTTTGGGTGTGCAGATGCCATGTTTTTGTTAGAGGTTGTTCTTTCAGTGTTAAAAATAAAAATATTTAAATCCATTTTGAAATATAAGAAGTACTGACAGGTTCAGTCAGTAAGTGAAGTCATTTCAAATATAAAAGACTGAGTGAAGAGGAGAACAATTTCAGAAGAAATCTCTGAAGGCACTAATAAGATATTGTGGTCAGAGTTTGACAGTCATTTCTTTTTGCAGGGGTGTCAGCATAATTAATTCTTCATATTGCTTTCTGTCCCCTCAGGGAACTAATGTGGGTCACGTTTTTTTGTGGATTATTTTTAATTCAAATCAGATCCTCAGTTGATTTGACTGTATCTACTATCACAAAGGGGCTTAGGAAAGCCCCTCTGAAAACAAAATCGAGCATTACCTCTGAAATAAATGTTCACCAAACTACAGACTTGCTGTATAGGCAACCAGGTTGTGAAAGAGTTGCAGTTAGACCTGGCTCCTGACGTTGTGTGATCTATTTAAAATTAATGTAGCAGATACACGTGAGATACATGTATTCACAGATACTATTCTGGTAGTATCTGTGAACTACCAGAATAACAATTGTAATCGGCACTTCTGTAATATGGGAGTAGGAATGAACTCTGGAAAACAAAATGGTACATAAGTAATGTATTTTATATACAATCTTTTGGGAATTGTACTCCAGCCCTTGTGCTCTGTGCATTTCCTAATTTCAAGGGCTTACATATGTTGTTGTTTGGTTTACTTCCTTCCTTCAAAAGCTCACAATGAATTCTTTATGACCTATTTAAAACCTATATAGACACAAAAATAAGAGAAACAAAGAAAATCCAAGGCAAACTAATCACTGCCTGAGCAATGATAGTTCTGAACAGAATTTACTGATCATTCCTATACTTCTTTTGTAGGGGCATAAACATTTCTGGAGAAGTTTTCTATCAGAACTTTTAATTTAATTAAAACTGATCTTATAAATTATATGTGGGAAAAACTGGTGAATATTTTTGTGTCCTCAACATTTTTTTAATAAGCTCAAGGCTTTAATTTTGAATACAGCATCAAGGGCCAGCTGTTTGGAAGAAAACACTGATATTTATGCACTTTCAAATCACTTCAACTTGTTACTGCGATCAAAAGTGTGAGGGTTACTTTTTTTAGTATCTTCCAGTTTTATGGCATTTTTTTTCTCTTTTATTTTCTAAATTTCTAGGAGGCAATATAAGGTATTTTCAGGACAAATAATTGGAGGGAAGAAGCTTGAGGCTTTAGTAGAAGGAAAGTCCCAAAAGGTGGAAACAGGTGTTTCTCTTGGTGTTCCTGAATCAAATGAGTAGCTTCCTATCGTCTGGAAGGTATGACTGTACAACTTAGTATTTCTGAAAGGTTTTAATTTATATTGATACATTACATCAGTCTGAGGCTTCTAAGGTTTCACTTGTTTTTTGGGCGGCTGTTCTTTTAGGTGGCTGTTAATGTTAGAGAA